TGCTCTTGATGCCGCTCTTGACCAGCTTGGCAATCTCCTCATCCTCCACGCCGTCGTACTTCATCCCCTCCCGCTGCGCCCTCCAAGTCTCCCACTCAATCTCGTAGGCCTGCATCCCGCCTCTGTGCCCCTCTTTCTGCCATGTGTCCAGCCACTCCGCCGCCGACGGCGGCGCAGGTGCGAAGAGGCGCCCGCCCCGCTTCTTGGGGCCGTAGCGGCTGTGGGCGGCGAGCCTGCAAGCCTTCATAGCCTCCGCCTGGCGGTCGCGGTGCAACGCCGCATCCGCCTCCTCCATCAGCGTCGCCACCCTTTGTCGCTGGTACTTCCGCCTCTTCGCCGCCAGCAGCTTGGAGACCACCTTCAGCTGCATGTCGATCTGGGTAGTCTCCTCCTCCGTGGCCTCCTGCTTCTGTCCGCGTAGCTCAACTCTACGCCTTAATAACTGTCGTCGCTCTGCAGCGTAGGAGGTGTAAGGCTCTCCATGCCCCTGCTTGGCTCCAAAGTGTTTGGCGGCTTCATCATGTATACGCTACTCGATTCCCTCGAAAATGGTGTCGGGCGAGTCCCAGTCAATATGGGAGTTTACGGGGAGCGCCTGCACTGCCGCGCGCACATCCGTCAGAAAAGGTTCCCTGCCAGCTCCAGTGCGCACCGCCTCCATCATCTTAGTGTGATCCCACCTTACAATCCCCGCCTCCGTCTCTGCTAGGTTGGGCGCCCCATACTTACGGTACTCGATACAGCAATGAATGGAGATGTGGTCCCTCGGCGGCGTGCCCTTCATCGCCTGCAGCTTTGCGCCTAAACGCGGCAACACTTGGCAGTGCCGTACCAACGGACCAATATCTTGAGGGAAGGCTATGTAGTCAATCCTGCTCGATCCCGTCTCGCCGAAAAAGGTGTCGATCACAGCGCTCCGGGCGTTGCCCATGCAGAGGTTGTGCTCAGCCAATAGGCCTCGCGTTCGCTCCCCCGCCCCTCCACGGATCCTTTCCCTCGTCGGGGCATTCACAACCTCCGCATTCAGGTGTTCCAGACCTCCCTCAGTGGTGCTGTACCCGATGCCGTCATTCAAGTCCATATATATCACTGGTGTGCATCGTGTGGGAATGCCCGCCAGGACTCCACCCAACCATCCAACTAACAACTTACAAATCCCGATGTATTGACTCCTCTTCTTGCTCTTGCCCTGCGGCGAGAAGTACATACTACTCACCGCCAGCACGTCCACGTTCTGGTACTTCACTCTGGCTGCGAGGGCGCGGCCAGGCGCACCCGCAGGGCTCCCCCACGTCCGCTTGACAGCAGAGCGGGGAGCCCGAGGCGGGATCCCGATCGCAACGCCGCGCGACGGGTTGCTGAAGGGGGCGGGTCGTCTCCCTCCCTCACAAGGGGCCTCCAGCACCAGTGTGCCCCCAGCTCGGCGGTAATGTACCTGCCCCTCTGCGTTGGAGCACGATGTCTTGATGCCCGCCAGCTGCACAAAGTCGAAGTTGTGGCACTCATCCATGATCTCTTCCAGTCGGTCTGGTCGACTAGCCCAACACGGGTTCCAGCCGAGGCATCGAAGGTGCTGCTTGGTCGCGCCGTCATGGGCGCTCGCAGCCTGGCTGGCTGCATCCATCTGCCTCTGCCATCACGGCGAAGGCGCGCCCGAATGCGAAATATCTGTTCGGGTTCGATGCATGCCTGCTGCTGAATCTCCTCGAACCTGCAGGCTGACGACGACGACGACGACGACGACGACGACGACGACGACGACGGGATCGCCGCCGCGGGCTATCGGGCCGCCCCTTGCACGCGGAGCGCGCCAGGGAGCCACTGGCGCAGACCTCCGCGACAGTGCATGCTGCATTCTTGAAGATCGGCACTACTTACTACGGAAACCCTAGGGCCTCTGTAGGAATCTTGAATAAAAGCGGAGGATGTATCGATCGGGCGCGTCGTTGTTTGCAAGAGGGGCCGTCTGCGGCGCCGAGGCGGAAGCGCCGGGCCTAAACAACAGGGAAGGATCGAGCGGGAGCACTGGTTCTGTTGGAAAGCGCGCTTTCGGCGGCAGGCAGAAGCCCCCGTCCCGAGTAGAGAAAGAGGAAGTTTCGAGCAGGAGCGTTGCTGTTGTTATTGCTGGCGGGGCGGTTCGGGCGCAACCCCGCAACGCCTGAGCGCAAGCCGAAGTTTTTCAAAGGAGATGCAGCCAGCGCCACGGCGAGAGTGCCAGTGCAGACGTAGGCTGTCCCACGAGGAAGAGTTTCTGATAGCAGAACTTCAACATGGACTATGGAAGCGTCAGGGTCTCTGGGAGTCTCGAACAAAGACAGAGGAAGTAGAAGTATCGAGCGGGAGCGTCGCTGTTTCCAGGGGGGCCGCTTGGGACGCCGAGGCGGGAGCGGCGGTCCTGAGTAACCAAACAAGAAAGTATCGAGCGGGAGCGCCGGTTTTGTGGAAAAGCTGGCCTTCGGCGGCGAGCAAGAACCATGGCCTCGAGTAGGAAATGGCAAATGTATCGAGCGGGATCGTTGTTGTTGATGGGGAGCCGGTTTCGGCGCATCCCCGAAACGCCTGAACGTGTGCCTCGATTGCAGAGGAAATGCAGCCGACGCCAAGGCGAGAGCGCCAAAGCTGATTTAGGGGATCGTGCAGTGCAACTTGTGTAATCCGCCGGCCCCCATTGCGGGTCCATCAAGCTGCGAAGCTTAGGTTTGCTGCGCGATGCACCAATTCCAGTTTCCTGTTTCGAATGTTACAAGATTGCTTTCTGCTTCGTAGTGTAAACTGTTACTGCCCGCGCGAGGGAGCCAACAACTACCCTAGCTAGCGTTCCCGAATCGCGTGCTCTGAATTTCTAGGGGGCCGTGAGACACGTAAACATGATCGACCCGTGAACCGGGAAAGGAATGTAGAAATGTAAGGCATCCTGACCGAACTGATCTGGACCTTAAGCTCGAGCTGCCTGAGCAGATGGTAGCTGCCCCAGAACCAATTGACAGAGGGGACATGCCAGGAGGACGCTCCGCGGAACGTCCCAAGGGACGCGCCAGGCGACGTGCCAGGGGACGTGCCATGGGCACGCACCGCGGGACCTGCCAAAGGAACGCGCTACGGAACGTGCCAATGGACGTGCCGCGGGATGTGCCAGGGGACGCGCCGCGCGACGTGCCAGGTGGACTCACCAAGGAACGAGCCAAGGAACGTGCCAAGATGCAATGTTGAATGTATATATCTTGATGTACTGTGCCGACGGCTGCGCTGTGCTGGCCGTGCTGAACTGCGATGTACCATGCCGCGATTGTGCTCTATATAGCGTTGTGGATCGGGGCCTCTTTGCATCCGAGTCCTGACGAACTGATCTGGATCTTAAGCTCGAGCTGCCTGAGCAGATGGTAGCTGCCCCAGAACTAATCGACAGGGGGACATGTTAGGAGGACGCGCCGCGGAACGTCCCAAGGGAGCGACGTGCCAAGGGACGTGCCATGGGCACGCACCGCGGGACGTGCCAAGGGGACGCGCTACGGAAGGTGCCAATGGACGTGCACCGCGCGACGTGTCAGGGGGACTAGCCACGGGACGCTTCGCGGAACGTGCCAGGCAACATGCCAGGCTGCAATGCTAAGGGTATCGATATTGATGCACCGTGCTGAGGGCTGTGTTGTGCCGGGGCGACCTGGACACGTGAAAGCACGCGTTTCGATCAAGACGTTCTCAGCACATCCTCATGCTAGACATCCGCCTGGGCAACCTGGACACGTGCAAACAAGCGTCTCGATCGAGACTTCCTCGACACATCCTCATGCTAGACATCCGCCTGGGCGACCTGGACACGTGAAAACAAGCCTCTGGTTCGAGACATCCTCAACAAATCCTCATGCTAGACATCTGTCTGGGCAACCCGGAGGCGTGACACCTAGCGTCTCGCTCGAGACATCCTCAAGACCTGGGCACGTGAAAACAAGCAATCCACTTGAGAGATCCTCTGAATTCAGGTCCCCAGGAGAGGACAATATATAACACATATGAGGCTTCGACCGCCCGCACATTACGCGACATTCTCGCCTGTGGGGCCAGGATCTCTTGCAAATTACACCACAATCGCGCCCCCGAGGCTACGACCCCTTGTAAATTACGCCACATCTGCGCCCCCGAAGCCACGATCCCTGTGGCACTGTTATTTAAATGTTTTTGTTCCCCCTCACACAGTCGAGGCAAAATTCCGAGCTGAAGGGCCAAGGTGTCCTCTGGACTCCCTGCTACTGAAGGGCGGCCTCAAAGTGGGCTGAGTCCGAGTCTTTTCAAGAACAGAGCCGAGGCCTGTAGCCTCGCACGCACGTGCGCGCCCGCCGCTGCAAGCAACGGCGGGTTGCTTCGCGAATTCGGCGTAAACGCGTCTGGTATACTCTGGGCAACGTTTCATCCACCTTTCACGCGAAATTCACCACCCACTCGAATTAAATTGACGCGCCAATGGGGAGTCGAACCCACATCACGCACCGAACGATACTTCAAACAACGGCCTCCCCAATGCCTTCGACATTCCAATCTCCAATGCAGCTGTGGATGCCATCGTGCCGATGGCGAACGCGCAGCTGATCAGCTGAGGAGCACGTCGATGTTACGTTGACTAAAAGTGTGCGCATCGATCACTTGCGAATGAATCCTGGCTGCAACATCATGCAGTGGCGCTGGAAGCATGAGCTGGTGGCGCATTCGAATCACCACAGAAACACAGGAAAAGCGCGTGCTTAAGCTGCCTATCTCACCGTGCCGTTGTAGTTTGCTCCTTGCTCGGACATGGCCGGCTCGGAGAGCAAAACCACGACCCACGGCAGTGATAATCACTTACGCAAAAGAAAGGCCAAGCAATTGAAAAATATGTGGGGTGATTCTGAGTCCACCCGAGCAGGTGGCCTTAAGCCACTAGCCCGCGGATCTTTCAACGCGGCTCTCACGAAAGTATGCATGGACTTCTCTTGTTCATACCAATGCCCGATCATTTGTTTGAATGTGGGGGTGGGACAAATGGGGGGGGCGAGTGACCTCTGCGGGCCGGCTGATGTAGAATGCCACGCGCCTGCTGTACTTCTGCGTGGCCAGCGCTTGTCCATTACCTATGCGACCTGATCATTAGACATTCGTCATAAAGCTGATATCCGGTACCCCGCGCATACATCAAACGTCACTTGGTTTGATGTCCTCCTCGGTCTGCGCTTGCCGATGAACAAAAGCGGACAGCAAGATCACATGCTCATACTTCGAGCCTGAGCATGGTGGCACCAATCTATGGCTCGGCGGAAGTGCAGTCGAAGGATATTGCGGAGGTGGGAGGAGCTGGTGACTTGTAGCGTTAGGGCCTGCTTGACCCGCAAGGGTGAAAGGAACCAAGAGAAATAAGTGTATAGGGAGAGAGAGAGAGAGCACAAAAAAAAGGGGCTGGCATTGCGCTGCAAGCTCTCAACGCGGCTTGATTACCGCGCTCGAGAGGCAGCCTGTGACCGCCCTTTCCTTGAGTAGCCCTGCCAGCCATCACTGAAAGCAACGTAAACTCTTCAGCCCTGCTGACAAAAATCGACGCTGCCCGTCGCGGCGGCGACCAGACTCCGCACCGGCACGCGCGCGCTTGGAAACGAGACACAGTTCTGTAGAGCAGAGCTGGGTTCCCCGCGGCGACGATGAGCCGGAGACCTGCGAGCATCGCGAGCCTCAGATGGAGATGACGGAGAGGTCGGAGGTGTCGACGTCGTTGACGGTGATCCGACACCTCGGCTCGGAGAGTGCCAGGATGGCGTTGCTGCGCTCGATGCTGCAGGCGTGGCGGGTGCCGTTGCGGCTTGACCGCCGCGTCGAGGCCCCGACGTGCGCGTTCCTCTTGGAAGCTCGATCAAGCTCGACGGCGGTCGACCACGAGCGACTATCCTCACCGAGGGAGGCGGTCTCCAAAGAGCGAGCCTGCAGCTTGAGGCACAGCGCCACCACGTTCGGATGGCGGAGCGGATCCCGCACGTAGGCATCGCGCATCTTGAAGACCTGGACTGCCAGGTCGGCCTTGTCTTGAGACCACCACTGGGCCGTGGAGCACCTGAGCTTGCGAATCGCCTGCTCGCGCTCCGCGCGCTCGCACAGGTCGCCGGCCGCGACGAGCAGCGAGGTCACGACGAGCGGCCGCCACGTTTGGGCGGTGAGCAGGATGTCTTCTGCCTGAAGGCAGTGGTAGGCACCAGCGAGGACCATGCCTTTGCTCTTGTCGCTCAGCTCCATCGCGTCGAGCGCACCCCGGAAACACTCTTTCAGGCCCAACAAGGAGCCGCCGCCAGTCGCGCTGGCGTGAACGAACGCTGCCATGTCCGGAGCACGGCTGCCGTCCAGGACTGGCGCGTGATCGGAGAGCCGCTGCGCGAGGCTCTTCGACACCGCGACCACCAGGTCGCTCGCCAGCCCCCCCCGCTCCTGCTGGAGCGCCGCCCGAGCAAGCCCGGGTCGCGCGAGGTGGCCCGCCGGGACGGGGACGCCATTCTTCTCGATCGATCGTTCCCCTTGGGGCTCATCATCGCCAGCGCAATCTGTATGCGGGACCTCGACTGGGAGCGCTGGTCGTGGCTGGGCGGGCTGGTCAGGTCCGGCATCTCGCCGCCGGGCCGCAGGTGCGTGGGGCGCTGCGACGGCGTCTCGCAAAGGGCACGCTTGGGTCAGACTTTGGCCAAAATGGCTTGAACCAAAATGGCTACGGACGATCCCTCTGGCACTAATCCCACCAGCTCTCTGGGCGCAGGTAGTCTAGGGCGCTTCCTTTTCCAACCTCCTTCATTCCCTTGCTCGAGAAGTGTACCTCACCCCCCCGTCCATCGGTCTGGGTGGGCTCCCCCGCGAGGTGGCAGAGGGTCCCTTTTGGCCCAAGATGGCTCCGAAAGTGCCTTAGAGAGCGCAAGATTGCCTCCAAGATGACCCAAAATAACAGTAGACGGCTCAAGATAGCCTCCGACAAACATCCACGAGGCCTCAATACGGCCCCAAAAGGGTGTCAAGTGCTCTCCGAGGCCTCCAAGGACCCCCAAGAGACCAACATCCTGCAAAAATAAATGAATGTGGTGTGCGTGCCTGCTCTTTATTTCGCCTCTGTTGGGCTCTTGAGGCCTCAAGATGGCCCCCAAATGGCCCAAGATGGCCCCAAGAGGGCTCCCAAGCAGCCCCAAAAGCGTACAAAAAAACGTCGCAGTAGTGGCCCTTCTGGGCCCCAAGACGACATGCTTGAGCTTCCGACGGGGGGGGTCGAATTTTGTACCCCCCCTCTTTTTGAACATTGGGACCCAAGACCCCTCGGGCCTCCAGGAGGAGGAGGAGGAGGAGGAGGAGGAGGAGGAGGAGGAGGAGGAGGAGGAGGAGGAGGAGGAGGGGTAGAGAGGAGGAGGAGGAGGAGGAGGAGGAGGAGGAGGAGGAGGAGGAGGAGGAGGAGGAGGAGGAGGAAAAGGAGGAGGAGGAGGAGGAGGCCCCACGAGGCGTTCCATACCCCCCAAAAGAGCGCCAAGAGGGAGGGCCCAAAGACCCCCCCCAAAAAGAGCCCCCAAAGAGGCTCCGAGAAAACCGGAGGAGGCTCCACAGGGGCCTCCAGGGGGGAGCCTCGAGGTGTCTCCGAGAGACATCCAGATCAAAAGCGTTTCGGAGGCAGCCATTACACGGCGTGCTATTGTCATCACGTGCGCCAACACCCGCATTGCGACTTCACGATCAAACTCAGTGCGGGGACGAAGACCAAGGATGCAGATGGGGATGCAACTCTCAATCGTGCGACAAAGGGCGACGAATAATAAATACAGCCGCCCGCGCCAGAGACGCTTACCACAGGGGACACCACGGCGTATCTTGCACCTGCTTCCATATTAAACTAGAACCATCGCGCGCGCATCGCGCGCGCTCAAGTTCTAGCTAGGCTTGATCGGCTAACTCATGTAATATCGTGTTGGTCGCTTCTTGCGTCTAGGGACTCCGTTGGAGGCCCTGCGCAAGCCTCGGAATCGTGTAGAAGGGGAAGTGCGGAAGGTATTCAACGACTTGGGGCCCTCAAAGGCCTCCTGAGTCATTTTTGGAAGGTGAGGGGGATCGTAATGTTGGTCTGTTGTGCAAGAGTAGACCGGGGGCCAAGAGTGGAAAACAAAACAAAAATGTGGGATTACAATTTTTCCCAGTTCCTCGGCGCTGTTCGGCGCTGCTTTTTGTTTGTGCCTCGCGGGTTTTGTTAGCCGGGCCCCTCAGGGATGTGGGATCTTCCAGACCGTCCCCCTGGGGCTTCTGGAGGCCTCCTGGAGGCCTGGAGAGCCGTCGGAAGGGTGTCTCGGGCTGCGCGGAAGCGTGTTGGGCCGTTCTTGACGTTATGGGGGTTCCTTGGGGTCGTCATGGGCTGTCCTTCGGCGTCTTGGGGTCTCCCCCTGGGAAGCAGGGAGGCGCGGTACCGGCCAGATGTCAGGGGATGTGTGGGACCCCCGAATAGGAGTCCCACTTTTCTAAATAAAGAAGGGAATTCTGGGAATTCCCTTCTTTAGAAAGTGGCTGTCTTCTTCTGTGACCCCTCTCGGGCGCTTCTTGGGCTTCTCTAGGGCCGTCTTGGGGGCCGATTGGGGCATCCTGCGTTCCTCCTGGGCCGTCTTGGAGATTCCTTAAGGGCCTCCTAGGCCGTTTTGGGGGGCCGCTTGGGCCGTCTTGGACGCGGCGACAGCCCAAGAGGCGAGCATGCAAAACATATACGTTTCCCCCTAGGAATGGACGGATTTTAGTTTCTTTGGGCTCTCTTGGGATGCCTTTTGGAGCATCTTGGGGTGCTTAGGGGGCTTGCTTGGGGCCTCTTGGGGGCGTATCGGCGCCTCCTGGGATATCTTGGGGCCGAAAGCTCGGGATTCGAGAGTGGTTTTCGTTCTCTGGGACTCCTCTCGGGCGCGTGTTGGGGCTCTCTTGAGCCGTCTTGGGGGCCCATTGGGCCGTCCTGGGTTTTTCGTGGCCCGTCTTGGAGCTCTTTTGGGGGCCTCTTAGGCCGTCTTGGGAACCCCTTGGGCCGTCTTGGACGCGATGACAGCCCAACAGGCGAACATACGAAACCTATACGCTTCCCAAAGAGGAATGGGACGATTTTTGTTTTTTGGAGCTCTCTTGGGGTGCCTTTTGGAGCGTCTTGGGGTGTTTTTGGGAGCCTTCCGGGCGCTTCTTGGGGGCTTCTCGGCGCCTCCTGGAGCCACTTGGGGCCGAAAAAAAATTCGATTGTGGTTTTCCTCCTCTGGGGCCCTCTCGGGCCCGTCTTGGGGACTCTCTTGGACCGTCTTGGGCCCTTCGTGGGCCGTCCTGGAGCTCTCTGGGGCTGTATTGGGGCCCTCTGGGGCGCGTCCTCGGCCGGACCGACATCGAAAACAAGCAATATGTCAACATATACGTTTTACAAAACGGAATGGGGCTATTTTGGCCCCTTGGAGATCTCTTTGGGGCCCTATTGGGGGTCACTTGGGGTATCTTGGGGGCTTCTGAAGCCGCCCTGGAGGCCTTGTTGGGCGTCTGGGAGCGACCTTCGGGCGTCCCGGGTCTGTTCTGGAGCCTCTTGGGGCCTCCTTGGTGCCTTCTGGCGGTCTTCTGTGGGGCCCCGGGGCCCCCCGAGGGCCCCGGAACCCACATTTGTGGTAGCGGCGCCGGCCCCGGGCGCCCGGACCCAGTGCGCCGTTATATGTATACTTCGCTGCGGGCAGCTATGCGTGATCCCTGTTTTTTGCTGGCCCCAGGTGGATGCAGCCACCTGCGCTGGAAACGGTTACCGCGGGGGGCGCCACGTCGCATCTTGCACCGATGTCTTCCTTAAACTTCACTGCGGGAAGCTGGGTGTGATCCTTGTGTTTGGAATACGGCCGCACAGCTGCACGTTTCCAGTCGCCCCTGATTCACCAACTCGCCTGCTGATCGTTTCTGGATGGGTTGGCGGGGATGTTGCTGGCACGCGGGCGCGCGAAGACGAGTCGAACGCCGCGCAAGCTAAGGCGGGCCGCGCCGAAGCAAAAGGGAAAACAGCGAAGGGGACGGCCCGCGGCTCAGAGCGGAGCTGAGCTCAACGCGGCCACAATTGCGCGGGGGGCATCGCAAACCATCGTCAGAATCATGTCAATCAACACTGCGGTACCAGGCAACGCAGGGCGTGCCCACCGAGGTGCGACGCGGGAGCGGCGTGGGATGGCGACCGCGCGCATGGAGAAGTCAGCAGCTCGGGACCCCCAGGACGCATTTGCCGAAGAAGGTGTCTTTCATGGATCCAGCAGTCACGAACTCCCGGCAAGCATGCGGCAGCCAGAACAACGAGAAAATGCGGGCGTTCGATAACAGACTCTCCAGGTAAGCTTGTCGAACTCCAAGTCATTGAACCCTTGCGGCCATCGCAGACATAGAGAAACGATGAGACAACCCCGAAAGGGCAGCGTGAACGGCGCCGAAAGACCGGCGTGGTCATCGCGAGGGAGACGCGCCCAGCGAACGCCGAAGAGACAAACGGCCTCCAGGCCCCCGGGTAGTACAACGCGTAGTCGGGCAGCGACGACGCGGTGAAAAACTGCTGCGCAAGAGGGAAACGGCAGTCGGCCAAGCCGCAGCCAAACCGCGCCCTCCAGCGGGCAGGCCAGAGGCCCCCCAGGCCGGGGCAAGCAGGGGCAGACTGACTGCGCGTGCTGAGCAGGGAAGAGGGGCCACCTCGCGTCGGCGAAGAGCGCGTTTCTGTATGTTCGGCGATGACGGGCGTCATGGGGGGGAGGGGGGGGGCGAAAAGGGGGGTATGACGTGACGCCCCCCCCCCCGTCGTGTGGCTCCGGCACCGCAGCCGCGCCCGCGCGCGCGACGCGACGATCGACGAGCGACGAGCGACGAGCAACGAGGACGACGACGACGACGCGAGCAGCATGTAGGTAGCGATATGCCCCACCGCGCCTCTGTACACCACAGCGCTCGCGTGCACCACAACGCGCGTGTATACCACAACGCCTGCGTACACCGCAACAACCGTGTGCAACGCAGCGCCTGTGTACACCACAGTGCTTGCGTACACTACAGAGCCGGCGTACATGTGCACAGCGCAGCTATCATGTGCAACACAGCCCGTGCGTACACCACAATAATTGCGTGCACCGCAGCACACGTGCACGCCATAGCGCGAGTCTACACCACAGCATCCGCGTGCAACGCAGCGCCGATGTACACCACAACGCCTGCTTGCATAGGTCACGTCGGAACCTGTACGTGAAGATCTGCTCCGGACAACTAGCGCCACGCCAGGAAAATGCTGATAATCGAATGCGGCGTTTTTCCCCCCGCCCTCCTCCTCCACCTCCACCACCTTCTCCGCCTCCTCTTCCTCCTCCTCCTCCTCCTCCAACTCTTCGTCCCTGTCCTCCTCCTCCTCCTCCTCCTCATCCTCCTCCTCCTCGTCCTCCTCCTCATCCTCCTCATCTTCCTCCTCCTCCTTACCCCCTGTCGTGCTGGTTGGCGCCACAGCGCACGTGCGCATCTCAGCGCGCACCACAAAATGGTCGACTGAATCGGTCCACTTGGTTCTCGGACGGCCAATTTAGCTAGAGCCTCCTGGACGCAGGTGGGGGGAGTCAGGGTGATGCGTGCGGACTCGGGGGGACTCGTAGATTCCAGCGGCGCTCCGCTGTCCATAAGGAATGCGTTTCAACGTTTTGTGTGGAATCCACAAGCGTTCCATTTTGCCATAAGGTTTTTTCCTAACACTCCATATACAACACCGGTGCTGTGTTGCACACGGTTGCTTCGGTGCACAC